TTGATACCCATCAGTGTTGCCAGAACTTTTTGGACGAACCGTCTGAATTGGCAAATAAAACCGGCTAAAAACGGCTAAAATGTTTCAACTAAATTTCACATGTTTTATTTAAATAAATCACGAGTAAAAAGACTTTCTAGAAGAGAAGTTACAAATTCGAGCCGGAAAAAATTTTGCCAGCAAGAATTTGCAATTAGCAAAAACATATGATTGTGGCACATGGTTGGATTTTAGCTCTGATCCAATACTTTTCGTGAAAAATCCTGTAAAACTGTCAAACAGCAAAATTATTCTCTGAATTGAGAGTAAAATGTGAGTAACAACAAAAAGTTCAGGAACAAAAAGACCATTTTTCCTGTAAAAACGTCAACCAGTGATTGCTTGACACTTCTCATGATTTTACCGGAAGAAAAAGTTCGGGTAAAATCTTGCAACTTCATTCTCTACACAACTCTCCAAAAAAATTTACAAACTGGAGCGATTTTAAAATGAAAAATGTAAGTTAATACTTGTTTACTTAATTAACTTAGTTAATTCCAATGATTTGAAAGGTAGTCGGCAAAAAAACTGTATTCTTAATCGGAATGCAATCTCAACCAGAGTCGATATAGTAAACCCGACAAAGAAATGGAAACGTATGTAGAAGAAAGTCGGACTGACAAGATACATACACGTAGATCCAGTTTTTTGCCCCTCTGAAAGAATTTTAAAAATTCTATACAAATTTATTATGTTTGAAATGCAACCGTGGACCCTAGCTGGCAGAGAAACTTGCAAATCTATCTACTTGAGAGAGAATTTGGGAGCATTTTTTCTTACTATCTGATATTTTGAGTGATAAATCTCGCTAGATTTTCGAAGAACAAACCTATTGTCTTCCCATAGAGTTTTGCTTTTGTTTTCATTTTGCCATTTGGTTTTTTTAATTCAAGTTGGCGTTCGGTTTTTGGAATTTAAATAAGTTCTCAGCAAAAAAGTTTGTTTAAAAAATACATATGTGTACATAGTGCTTGAAAATATCAATTTTTCCCTTACCTTAAACCTTTGGGAGTGGGCAAAAATGATGTTTTGCAATTTAGGCAGAATTGAATATGCGCTATCTGGGAAGACAATATCTACATGTAATATTTATTCTATTTGTTGGCACTATATCCAAACACAAACGCGTCTTAAGTGTCTTTAACAGTGAAACAATTTCTTATTTTCTAAGTTTGCGAATAAAACTTCACACTTAAAATTATGACATTTATAACAAACATTTTATGAAGAGAATCCCTCGTAACATTCGTAAGTTATTTTATTTTGGGGTCCTGCAGGCGTATACAAGTACTAGGTGGTTGTGTGAAAATTACGTTAGCAATCCTAAGCAGGGCTGCCAACTTAGCTCAAAGCGTGCCATTTTTGGCTCTGTTTTACTTCAAATGGCACTTAATTTTTAAATTTGGCACAAAGTGCCGAAATGGCTCTTTTGAGAAATAGTAATATTTCAATACATTTTTGTGAAATCCTTTGCGTGTACTTCTTTTTCTCAACTAAAAATTTCTAATGAATATAGTGAATACAACTGGTTTATCTTACTTTGGCATTGGACTTTTGTTTTTGAAATGTGACTCTAATTTGAATGCTAAATGGGAAGAATTATAAAGATCGGCATCTTTTTCACTTTTGCTTTTCTATTTGGCACATTTTGGCACTTTTTTATCCTCAATACGGCACTTCATAGCAAAGTATAGTTGGAAGCCCTATTCCTAAGAGGTGGTCAAATCTCATGAAGCGTTTGCTACCGCGCATCGCAATGTCTTCTACACAGGGTTAAAGTCCCCCGTTTTCGTAAAAATTACTATTATTTTTCATGACATTCAGTTCTCCTTAGAAAAATTTGGCACTAAATATTTTAGTGGATATTTTAACCACCTATAAGCCATTTTTTAAACAGTGGGTCAGAAAGGCCCGTTCTGGTGGAAGTTGACCAAACCTTGTTTTCAATAAACATATAACCCGCAAAAAATCGTAACAACCCCGTAATTTAACAGAACGGCTGATAAGATTATTGCAAAAAATTTTGATATCGACATAAATTACCCCAATAACTAAACTTTTTAAATTTTTGTATTTCTTTAAATTTAAGTAGTGTATACGGATTTGTAGAGAAAATAGAGATGTATTTATATACGTCGGACTTTCTTCTGTTTGCTCATCCATCAGCGGCAGACACTCAACATTTTAATTCAAGTAGAAAGTAACGTAATTTTAATTTGAAATTAATTAAATGAATTAATTAAATACAATTACAATATGAATTCGCATGGCCAATGCCTAACGCTGACGAGATGACATGATAAGATTAGTAGCTTTATGTCTCTTTGGAATCTACCTTATGGTATTCTTTCTCAAGTTGACCACGCCGCCGCCGCAAAGCTTGCCGGCGTAAACCTCTAATCTGGACCACTTCAAACGTAAAAAACTGATATATGTGTTGATCACCACCTCTTTGTGGCGCATCGGCAATATCATTCGGCAGCGGTGGACCGGGAGTTGTCCCATGTTATGCAGCGTTGGACCAAAGGTGGTCAGGTCCAATGACATCGTAATGTTAATGTAACCATATTTTCTCCATCTATTCGGACCATTTTGGTTACTAGTGTTGCTTACAAGGTAGCGTTGTCCTGTACTAGTATTAGCAGGGTTAAGTATGTGTACATATAGGTATAAATCCGTATATATGCATGTGCGGATTTTGCATAATCGGGAGTAATATAATAATAAGTAAAGTTCCTCTTACTCTGCATATGCCTAAGTGTATGCAACCATTTACAATACCAAGTAAACATAAGTTGCTTCTAACGAAATTAAAAATTATCTGCTGAAATACACAATTTGGAAACTTGGAAACAACCGCACCATGCTGTGCAATGGCGCATCGCGCGTAGTTCCTTCCTTGTTCGCTGCAGCCTTGTGCATTTTTAGGCGCAGTGCAACGAAAAGGAAACGCATGCACAAGGTTGCAAATTCGCAGGGTGCAATTAATGATTTTTTTTTGTCATTCCGTTATTGGAAAAAATTTTTTTGGTGATGCATTCCGAGCGTTCTTTTTTGCAGTTCGCAAACATTTTGTATGATGTATTTCCGGACGTTTTTTTTCAGTTTGCTTTTAATAAGGTTTTAAACAAATTACTGTATAGAATTAACAATAACAGCATCAAAAATCTCATTATTATGATTCCATTGAAAAAAAAAGTTTAATATTTTTATGTAGCTTTTTTTAAACTTAAACTGTTTTGTCATCTGAGGGGAGTTTTTCCAAAAACTCCTTTGGCAACTGTGTAAATAGACAGAGAAATCAAGTACCAATATACTTAAACCATGTGTGGTTTCTCTGATAATATGTTTACTGTTAAGTTTCACTTTCATTATGCGGAAATGATCAATAAACAGCTACTTACTTACAGCCGATTGGTTTCTACAAGCTACCATTATCAGCCAATTAACATCTATTGCTTTACACCTACTCCACCTACTTTGCGGATACTCAAAATATATGTATGTATGTATGTATGTACATACTCAAACTTATATTGCTTATAATGAAGAATAGGTATTAATGAGAAGTACATACATATGCACATGTGCATATTCACATGTACAACTACATACTACAAATATTGTTTGAGTACCTCTTTGTGTTCCGACGGATAACACTTAATGCTGATGATGAGTCGTGGTCCGAATGAAGCCTACAATGGTTTCAGCGATAGCCCAGATATTCTGAGCATTATATGTATATAAACATTTAACTGTTCTTCCTTACCTCTTCATAATAACATACAAATCGCACACGATCTTCACCACAACTCAAAATTACACGTTTGTCAGAAAATGTGAAAATCTTAGGCTTTTTTTCAACAAATTATAACAAAAATTTACTCAAGCTTTTGCTGAAAGGTAACGTTTTAGCGCATAATGCCAAATTTTGAATTGTGTCACTTTTAAAGATAGTGTGCGATATGCACGTGCTTATTAACACGGTGTTTGTTATACATACAGTCTCGGTCATGATTATATCATGCCATTTCAAAGTGATATTGTGTGCCACTTGTGTTTATTTTTTTATTTTTAAGAATTTTCAATTAAAACAGTTCTTTCTCTAACAAAACCCATGTAAAGCGGAGTTTGACAATTTGTAGAAAACTGCAGAAAAGTGCAAACATTTTCACCCAAAATTTCAAACTTTTTTCTCCGAAGTGTTAGATTTTTTTTGCATACACCTTTTTATAGTCTGATAATGTGCAAGTTTCAGGTGGCTAAGAGTTACCGTTGATTTTCAAATTTTTTTCGTCTTTTTTTTCGTTGTTTGTCTGAGAATGAACTATATTTTATTTGCAAATTTTTAAAAATAAATAAATAAACATAACTGGCACACAATATCACTTTGAAATGGCGTGCTATAGATATGACCAATACTGTACATACATACATACATAATTGCCTATAATTATGAAAGTAGTATTAGAAATGGCATACCCCTTGGACTTTAATTATCGGTAGCATGTATCCAAATGCATTTGTAAATCGCTCTGTATGTACGCATGCAGTCATATACCAATAAGAAAACTGTCTTCAATTACCTGATGACGCAGAACGATTAACTAACGCGTTAAAATGCATTTAAAAGATATTTTAAGTATAAGAGGTATGCAATTACTTTCATAGAACACTTTTAAAATTGTGTATATACATACATACATATGTGCCAGTTACTTAAGATTTAAGAAATAAGACAATGCAATCAATATTAGCATTAAAATATTGTTATTTAAAATGTATGTATTCACTTTGCTCAAAACCTTGATTTTAAAATGTTTAACACAAACACTTATGGAACCATGATCGAATGCTCAATTAAGCGGCATTATCGCAAAGTAGTTGCTATACATGTATCTTAGTTGCTCAATTTGCTTATTAGTTTAACAAATTTGAAATAAAACACCTTTTTAACACTGTTTATTTATTGAATAGCTTTTAATTCAAACATTTTGGCAGATATTAATAAAACTGCAACTAATGTGACGGAGTTACGTTTTTAATGTAAGAATACTTTTAAGTTAGTGATCGTGCCACTCAGAGCAGAGTGTATATGTCGACCTCAATAATCTGACAGCAGTTAAGTGGGGGGTCCTTATGGCCTAAAACCTAAAAACAAGAAATGCTGTTGCAATGGTAGCAGCAGCAGCATTGAAAGACTTGACTGCAACGCCAAAAATAGCTGTTTATATGTGGCGTGTAAAAATAGGCCACATTCAACACAGTGACCCTCCACGGCCTTCAAAAGCACTGTGTATAAAGTGCGCCACTGGTAGCAATGAAAACTGTTGCGTTTTGCGAGTGATATTCCATTTGTAATAAAAAAAAATCGAAACTATAAAAAACGGCACTTATTATTAAAATATACTCTACAACTTATTGCTTATATACTACCACTATACTTCGTTTTCTATGCCATCAAATTTGCACGTATCCAATCGCCTACGGCCTTCTCCACCACCGGTACATCAACGTCATTCGTTTGCACGTTACAGCTTACTATAAATTGTCGCTTGTATCGTTTGCTCCACAGGTCTGCTAAACGTTGTGAATTGGCTCCATGTTCCGGCCCAAATAATGTTGTGCTGGACGGTATCATACCTTCACCCATGGCTGGAAATGCTATGCCCATTTCATTCAGACTTTCTTTTCCTTGATGGGATATGAAAACCATTGTAGCGGCATTCATACGCAACATGCGTATAGTGAGCTTTATGCCCTTAATATCCAAATTTGTACTGCAGGAGGTAAAGCCGGCGTCTTCCCGATTGTGGTTAGGCGCAGCACCAGCGATCTCATTTCCTGATTCGTTGAAGATATCTGCGTCCGCCATCTATGCGAGAAAAGGAAAATGTTTTTTTGTGACGAACCACTTATTCAAAATGATTTCCTTACCTTTAGCCCTTTTTTTAAATTTACAACTTCATTTGTATAGCGAATCAAGTCATGCAACAAAAACAAACTAAACAAATTGTCAAAACCAGAAGAGATGCCGGACTTACAAAATGGAAATAGCGGAATTTCTCAGTTTTTCGGAGCCCTCGTGTGTCTTCTTAACCGGCCGTCTTCACATGCTTGCAAATCTCGCTTGGTTTCAGTTTTTTTTCTCGTAAGCGAGGTAGATACGGAATTCTTTTAAACTCGTAGTCTTAAACCGTGTAAAACTCGCAAATTTACGAGGCTTTTATGGGAACACCCCCTTTGCGAAAAGGTTTAAATAGGTGCGTAAAGCCACTGACAGATCAACGAGGATTTTGTGAAACAATTTTTGTTTCGAAGTATTTCCCATAACATTCCGCCATCTTGTCTTTATCACTCTTGGCTAAAATACAATTAAAAATGACGAAAAATGAGCAGAAAACATAAGTCAATACAGTTAGTGGATGGAATTCATTATTTTAGCATTCATTTTAGTATAAAAACTTCGACTCCTCGGCAACTCTGAAGTTTAAGAGCTCGTTACGATCGTTTGCGCATCAAATTTGCCAGTTCTTTTACAAGGCTCGTAAATTTACGAGGCTATTAAGGCTGAGTATGCTCACATAAAAAACGTTTGAAGCAAAGCAAAGCAAAACGAAGCAAAATCTTGGGCAACTCTCAACTTTTGTCCGCTTTGGCAATCAGCTGTCTACATGTATCTTTTCTCGTGCGCTTGCATTTGCATTAGAAAATTTTATTTTAAATAATGGAAGCAAACAAGAAAATTAAAAATTGTTGAACACCCAAGAACCAAATTGTCTTCAGAGGAGCAGTTTATAAATAATCAAGACAACTTTTCCTGTAGTACCTGTAATTAATATAAACTTCACTAAATAAAAAATCTCTATTTTAACTTACTTTTTTCTTCCCTGTGTATTCGTAGCAAAGAATAATAAAAAATAGCAAACAACAACAACAAAAAGTGGAGCTGCCGAACGCATTACGAATGCGCCGTTGAAATAAGGTAATTCGCGAATTATTTACGATTCAAATTAGAGACGGCAGCGATTTGTTCGTAATTCGCATGATAGTTCGATCTGAATTACTAAGATTTCGTATGGTGAATTCCGTAATTCAAAGGGTAATTGGAATGCGAATTACGAATGAAAGAGCGTACCATACAATTGGGGTGTCGCGGGAAAGCCGTATTAGAGAGAGTGATAAATTTATCATTTTGATAAATGAAGTGTCACACTTTGTATGGAAATCTATTTAACCAAAGTTTATCACTTTATCAAACGACTTTGGTGCATAAATGTATAAATTTCAGCAAAATTCATCCCTTACAGGTTGACAGCCCTGCAAAAATCGTTGGACCATGTAGTCTATTTGTGGTATATTGGAGTACTTACAAAAGTGCTCCTCTGTCATGCTGTAGCGGACCAACTCGTGTCTCTGCACCAGCTTATTGTTACCCGATCACTGCTCGTGTTTTAACGAAATGTGATTGAAGTTAAGCATTTGAAAGTACATTTGCATGTCTGGCTGTAGCTAAACGTGTAGAGATGCTAGCTATTATTTCTTAGCTCCCAGCATGTTCGGGTTCGAATGTCGTCAGAGGCAACATGTAATTTTTAATTTTTGTTTTTGGTTTTTATTCATTTCAAAAAAAGCATCTGCGAAGTGAAGAACAAAAGCGTATACAAACGAAAAAATATAACAACAATGTCATTGGAGTATGTTAGGAGTAGTTTTGTGCTACTCTGATGTAATGCAGAGATGAAGTACATGGTCCTGCCCTAGGACATCGCAATGTTAATTGGACCATATTTTTTATATGAATTGTGGTTAATTTTGGAGTACTCCTTGGTCCTTCGGGAGTACTCTTTACATGCATGCATGGAGTAGTCGCGATTTTTGCAGGGAGGTAGTCGCTCTTGCTACGACCAAATAAAAGCAGATGATCACAATGGACGAGGTAAGAATGAAACGTAACTAGCCATATAAGTTAAATAATAAACAGTTTTGTGCAATTATTTACCAAGGTGCGTTCATGAAATAAGGCGGACTATCTGATAAATTTAAGCAATTTTTCCCTTTATCCGTTTCGATGAAGACCCCTATTATTGAATCATTAAGGAACATTTCGCTTGGTTTGTCAAGCCGCTTGTGTGGCGAAACAAGATGGCTTGGAACCCGCTCAAAAAATCGACTTTTTTCATTTTTTGTTCGTGCGTGATCTTGTGTTGTTCGTTCATGCTTGCTATCCTATCACTTAATCTGATGCCAGATAAAACTTTGTGGCTTTGCCTAACATTTATAACTTTGCCGGCAATGCGCCGGACGCAAAAGGTATGCCACAATAAACGCCAAGAAATAATTTTGTACTGCTTTTTTACTCGTCAAAATTGCTGTGAATTTTATATATTTAGCTTTAAAAATATCAGCAATGGCCCGTAGTCATAGTCTAAATAAAGTCGACTTTAAAGTTAGTTGCAGCTTTTTTGACAGATATCCCATTGAAAATTATGTCAAAAAGCTGCAACTAACAAGTCGACTTTATTTTGACTATGACTACGGGCCAATGTTATTAAGTTTCCTGCATGAAAACTCGAATTTGGGCGAAGCAAAATAAATATTAAACCGGCTGATTGTTAACGTGCGCAAAAAGATGGGAGTTGACCATCTTTTCGATTTGCGCTGCAGCTGCAACGATCAGTGTGGCATGCTTTGTGCATTTTCATCCAATTCATCTTGTCTGTTAAAAAAAGCGCTGCAAGCGTTTTATCTGGCATCAGCTTTATGATCCGTAACCTTTATTCTCTTCATCGTGAAATCTTATTATGGTACGTTTCGAATGCAACTTTGTTATTGTTTATATCCGAATTCCTGTGCAGGTATCGGCAACACTGCCGCTCAGCTGTCATTTTTCCTACACGTGCTGCGACCGTTTGGTGATTTTTATTTATTGTGATTTTCTGGAATTCAAATTAAATAATGGCAAAAAACCAAATTAAAAGAAAAGCAACTGTCTTTGTTGAAAAGAAAAAAGGCAAAGATACCGTAGTCAAATCTGCAGACGAGGACGAAGAGGACTTGGAACAGGTGAGTTAAAGCTTTTGGTCAATTGTTTGAGTACGCTGATGGGTGTTTCGCACAGGATCTCTTGCAAAAAATTTCAAATCAAGATCAAGATAGTACGGATGATGAAGGTGTAAATGAGAACTATCAATCAGATGAAAGTGATGAATTGGAATTTGAAAGTGACGAGGAAGGCAATTATGCATCTAAATGGGATGAAGGAATTGAGTCGGAAAACAACAGCTTTGATGAGGAAGAGTCCGCAGAGGAAGGTTCCGAAGAAGAAGGTTCAGAAGGAGAGGATGAAATAAACGAATCAGATATAGAAGATATATCGGAAGAAGATAATGATCACAACTCGGATGAAAGTGGAGATGATTTTGGTGATGAAAGCGACAATGATGGTAATACAAAGGCGACTACCAAGAAAAAAACAGAAAATAATATAAGCAAGGAGGAAAACTCTCCAAAGCCTACCACATCTAAAGCGGCAAAAAAGGCGCTTGACGCGCAAACCCCTGGAACAAGCCAAGCGCTAAACAACTTCCAGAAGGAACTCAAAGACACGAAAGAAACCCATGCCGTCTCAGACAAAAAAACGGAATATGAAGATTCTGATACCTCAGATGAAGAAGACATACGAAATACTGTGGGCAACATTCCGATGCGTTGGTACGATGAATACAAACACATTGGTTATGATTGGGATGCAAAGAAAATTATTAAACCACCCAAGGGTGATCAAATCGATGACTTTTTGCGTAAAATCGAAGACCCTGACTTTTGGCGCAGTGTAAAAGATCCACAAACCGGACAAGAAGTTGTACTCACTGATGAAGATATTGCACTTATTAAACGCATAAATTCGTCGCGCGTACCCAATCCAGTACATAACGAATATGAAAATTGGATAGAGTGGTTCACATCCGAAGTGGAACGTATGCCTATTAAAAACGTTCCCGATCACAAACGTTCCTTTCTGCCATCTTCATCGGAACGAAAGAAGGTTTCGCGTATGGTACACGCCATTAAAATGGGTTGGATGAAAACTACGGAGGAGGTGGAGCGCGAAAAGAAAGCTGCACGCGGACCGAAATTCTATATGCTCTGGGAAACCGACACCAGTCGAGAGCAAATGCGACGCGTACATGATCCGGTGTCGGCACCGAAACGTGATTTGCCCGGCCATGCTGAGTCTTATAATCCACCACCAGAATATCTGTTTGATGAAAAAGAAGAGAAAGAGTGGTTGAAGCTGAAGGATGAGCCACACAAGCGGAAACTACATTTCATGCCGCAAAAGTACAAGTCTTTGCGCGAGGTACCTGCTTATCCACGCTATATACGTGAACGTTTCTTGCGTTGTCTGGATCTGTATTTATGTCCACGTGCAAGACGCACCAGATTAAACATAGATGCTGAATATTTGATACCAAAATTGCCTTCACCAAAGGACTTACAACCTTTCCCAACAGTGGAAAGTTTGGTATATCGAGGACACACTGATTTGGTGCGTTCAATTAGTGTTGAACCCAAGGGAGAATACGTTGTTTCAGGATCGGATGACAAAACCCTCAAAAGTAAGTCGATACAAATTTAAATGATTTTAGTGAAGTACTTATGAACTCCCATTCAATTAATATAAAATATGTATACTTTCAGTTTGGGAAATCGTTACTGGTCGTTGTATACGCACAATAGAGACTGACGAAGTGGTGCGTTGTGTTGCTTGGTGTCCAAATGCTAAGTTGTCTATTATTGCAGTTGCTTCTGGCAATAGATTGCTTTTGATAAATCCGAAAGTAGGTGATAAAATGCTTGTGAAGAAAACAGACGATTTGTTAGCCGAAGCACCAAAAATTGATACAATGGAAAGTGAGCGTATTAAGACGGCTGTGCAATGGTCCGTTCCTGAAAAAGAGGAACAAGAGAAAGGCGTGCGCTTAGTCATTACACATTTTAAGCCCATCCAACAAGTAACGTGGCATGGACGTGGAGACTATGTAGCTACGGTTATGCCAGAGGGTGCAAATCGTTCAGCGCTTATTCATCAGCTATCTAAACGTCGTTCTCAGATTCCATTCTCCAAGAGTAAAGGTCTTATACAATGTGTGCTGTTCCATCCAATCAAACCATGCTTGTTTGTGGCAGTAAGTTAACTTAAATTAAACTTTCGTTGAAGAAATTATTATAATTGTCTGCAATCGCTTTGCAGACCCAACACAATGTGCGTATTTATGATTTAGTAAAACAAGAGCTAATAAAGAAGTTGCTGACAAATTCAAAATGGATATCGGGCATGGCCATACATCCAAAAGGCGACAACTTGCTGGTATCTACATATGATAAGAAAATGTTATGGTTTGATTTGGATCTTTCCACGAAGCCATATCAGACAATACGCTTACACAGAAATGCTGTGCGTAGTGTTGCTTTTCACTTACGCTATCCGCTTTTTGCTTCAGCCAGTGACGATCTATCAGTGATAGTTTCACACGGCATGGTCTACAAGTAAGTGATTTACGCTTAGTAAATTTGTATATTCCTTTAATTAACTGTATGCTTTGGCTTTTTAGTGACCTGCTGCAAAACCCATTGATTGTGCCTTTGAAAAAATTGCAGACACATGAGGCACGTGAGGAATTTGGCGTGCTGGGTGTAGCTTGGCATCCAGTGCAGCCGTGGGTATTTTCATCTGGTGCAGATGCTACAATTAGGCTATATACGTAGTTTATTTTTTTTTTTAATTTGTCATTTTTTTAATACTTATAATGCTATAAAGTTAATTAAATGCAGTAAAATAATAGTTAAATATCAATTGAAATCTTTGAAAAAATTTGGTCTTCTCATCCTGCTTCTTTTGCCATGATATCGAGCCCCAACCGCAAAAATAACGTAAGGAACATTTTTTTCCTAAATTTCCTTTTGATGCAGAAATATTCCTAGAGCATCTAGATGCATTTCTGCATCAAAAAGAAAATTGTGAAGAAATGTCACATACGTAGTAACTGTTCTAAACTTACAAAATTTCGGAAGATCTAATGAAATATAAAGCCAAACTTTTAATAATAAACAACA